TTTATATGTGTGTACAGGCGTACACACACACACACACACACGTACACACACACGTAAAACTGACTTACTAATTGCTGCTGTGCAAGAGCATCTTGATAAGAGGCCTTTCCTTGTTCCAGCGTCTTTTCATCAGTCAGTTTCCAAATCTGAGCCCTGATCCCAACCTGGTCCAGAGGCAGGGGAGGAAACTGTTGTTGCTGTAAAATAAATAAATAAATACATTTACACACAAAGTAAAGAATATGTTGAACAACTGATCCAAGCTGTAAAATAAGGGTGTAAGCCATTTGCATCTCATCAAGTAATGTGCTGCAATAAAAAAAAAAAAAAAAATTCAGTGCAACATTTTGCCTTAACGTCTGTGTTTATGAAGCTCAAAATGTTCCACTTTTTGGTGAAATTGTCAGATGTACACATTAAATTATGTTTGTTATTGAGGTCATAGTTAAAGGTGGTGTTGTACTAGACTACATTATATATAGAGGTTTTGCTAATATTCTCACCCTCATGTATTTAGCTGGGGAGATGAAACATCAAGCTTCATAAACACAGATGTTAAGATGGAAGGGTTGCATTGAATCAGAATCAGAATCAGCTTTATTGGCCAGGTGTGTCGGACACACTAGGAATTTGACTCTGGTACATCGGCTCTCAATGTGTATGTACATATCCCCATGCAAGAGGCAAGTAAACAGTAAACCAGCATAAGGCTGTTAATATAACATTAGCAGTATTAACAAGCAACAAACAATGCAAAATAAGCAGTATAAACAGGCAGTAAACAATGCAGACAGACCAAGGAATGCTCATTGAAATGAGATAATAGGAATAAAAACTTAAGGAGTACTTAAGAACTGTACAATCTGTTGCCGCATTGGGCGCCATGTTTGAGAATTCCTGTACTCAATTACAGCCTTCAAGCAGTTTTGTTTTGTTTTGGGGGGCATTGGAATAGCAGTTTGGGATTATAGAACTATGGTATTACAGTTTTGGTGTCAAAAACAAGTGATTTTACTGGGATACCCTCAACAGCCAAGTGCACAGAATCTCTGTGTAGAAGCTTCTTGGCTGGGCCGGTCACGTGGGCACTGCACCATTCACCAAAATTGTTGATACGTGTTTGTTAAAGTTACCATAGCACTAAATATGTTGGAACGGCGGAAGGAGTGTAAATCCGGCACCTTGGGGTTGGTACTGTATGAGACGGCCATGAGAAGGAAAAAAAGAATTAGAAAGTTGTACTTGTAAGATTTGATTCTTATAAGCTCTAGGTACTTTATAAGCTTTATAACTTTTCATAACTTTAGCTCCCTTTAGTTACCTTTCATACATTTATTTTCCTTGCTTATATATCTTACAATTGTATGGATGAGAGTCAAGTGATACTGAAGTAGAAACTGCCTGCTTTAACTTCTGTGTAGACATAGTGTCTGTACCTTCAGGTAACCAGACAGCCTATTTTACATTTTAACAAAGACCTGTTGGCCTGTTTTGCACCTTCACCTAGACCCACTTATCATATTCCAAGTTCTGCTTTATCATGGGGTGTCCTTGCAGAGGCAGAGGGCTACAACCTGAGATGACCACCTGGCCAGTTTAGCATACTTATTAGCATCTCACACACACAGGGGGGAATGCAGCCCAGACCACCCATTGTTCAGTGTTCATTGATCAAGATCAAGCTGCCAGCTGAGAAACACACACACATACACACACATACCTGGATTTTACCACATTCCAGCAAGGAGGTGTGAGGTCCTGCTTACACCAAATGGCCAACAGGATTATGAAGTGTTGAATGTTGTACCTGTGCTCAGGGCGGGCCTAGCCCAAGCAGATAAATGCAATGAAAACATGTAACTCGGAGTTCAGAGAACAGAGCTCCTGCGGGAGCTCTGTCTCTCTAACCCCAGCGCTGTATGGACTTCACCTGTGCCCAGACTTTGAGTAAACTTCCTGTTGATTTTAAACAGTCCTCTCCTGTCTTCACTTCTCGCGCTTCCAACAAAAGAATTGGTTTAATTCTAACGGTGCACAGTGACCTGTAATGCCATCCAGAGGGGAGTAGTTCGAAAAGATTGTGTCCAGGGTGTGAGGGGTCTACAATGATCATCTCCGCCATCCTTTTGACCCATGAGGTGTACAGGTCCTCCATGGAGGGCAGGCCCAATTACCTTTTCTGCAGTCCTGACTGTCATCTCCACTGTTTTGAGCGTACTCAGCTCCAGGTTGTTGCGGCTACACCACAGGAGTGCATACAGCTGTACAAGTGTACCTAATAAAGTTGAATACAACACTGCAGCATATTGAATTGAGAAGAACGAAACAAATTTTAGACCCGGAAATGGACTGTTGCGTCACTACTTAAGAAACAGATACAGTAGTGTGTCATTTTGACATTGATCAGGACAATGGCATCACTGTCGTTTGTTTTGATTATATTTTATTTTATTAACTTCATTATTTCACTTCATTCTAATATAGTAGACTGTATAGTAAAATTGTTTTATAATATTTTAATGGTTCACACACATCCTTGTCACTTAAAGGGTCTGTACATAGACTTACATTCATTTCCAGGAGACTTGCCCTAACCTTAACCAGAACCACTACTTGCATAACCTTAACCAAAGTCGACACTTGCTGTAACCTTACACCCTGTAAAATGCTACAGATTAGCTGTGGGGCCAGCCTCCAGTCCCCACAAACAATTTCTAGTCCCCATGAAGCAGTGTGTTCCATCCCCACAAGTATATATATAAGCATGGCCACACACATAGTGTGAGGTCACACTGACCTCATCAAGTTACAACACATTTCTGTCTATATTTAGAAGTTGATATCGACCAGCAGGAAGTCACTGCTCACATTCACACCTTCCTCCTCCTCTCAGTCTCAGCCACAATGGTCCCTCTGTTTCCAGTCTTTAAGCCAAGCAAAGCTAGTTGGCTGCAGCTGGTTAGCACATTAACCCAACATCTAACAGAGAAAAGACAAGAAGAGGATTTCACTAAATCTTGAACTGTTTCTTCGAAGAAGCTATAATGTGTATTTTAATTGTGACAACAATGTGACACCAGTGTTTAAAGCTCAGGTGCATGTAATAGTGCAGCTGACTGTGCAGCTCCTCTCGGCTTCACGCAGCTTCACAGCAAGTCTCAGCTCAGCGTTTAGAGCCGGACCACAACATCACCATCCTGGTTCACGACCTGCTGGCAGCAAACGGCAGACAGAGCTGGTCAGAGACCAGATGGTGAACATGCTGCAGCAGTTAGCAGCTCTTGTAAGATTTGAATCTTATAGGCTCTAGTTACTTTTCATAACCTTAGTTTCCTTTAATTACTTTTCAGAACTTTAGTTTCCTTTAGTTACTTTTCATGCCTTTATTTTTCCTTGCTTATATATATTCCAATTGTATTGATGACTGCCAAATTCTACTGAGTGAAACTTTGGAACTGTATGCTGCAAATTCTGTGAAGACAGGATGTCTGTGCCTTCAAATAATCAGATGGCCTATTTTACATTTTAACAAAGACCTGTTGGCCTGTTTTGCACCTTCACCTGGCCCGTTTAGCATACTCACTAGGTCCTGCAATAGCATGACACACACAGCAACCCATTGTTCAGTGTTCATTGATCACGTTGCCGCCTGAAAATAACACACACACACACACGCCGGGTTTAGATCACATTTCAGCAAGCAGGTGCAGGCAGGGGTTGACCTGCTCGCACCAAATGGCCAATGGGATTACAAAGTGTGAAATGTTGTACCTCTGTCCAGGGCGGGTCTAGCCTAAGAAGATAAATGTAATGAGAAAATGTAACTCGTGGTTCAGAGATTGGATTTCCTGCGTGAGCTGTCTCTCTGATCCTAGCGCTGTATGACTTCACCTGTGCCCAGACTTTGAGTAAACTTCCTGTTGATTTTATACAGTCCTCTCCTGTCTTCACTTCTCGCGCTTTCATCATCATCATCATCATCATCAACTTTATTTATATAGCGCATTTAACACAGCCGAAGCTGACCAAAGTGCTTAACACAATATCCACAACACCCCTTAAAAACAACATAAATGGAACAGCAAAACAAAAACATCATACTTAAAACAACCCCCTATCATAAATCACAAGCTCAACAAGACACAGATACTTAAATTCATTCAGGGCAGAAACATGTCTTTCACTCTCCTCACTTCATTTAAAGGTTTTCAGTCTGTTAAACAGCCTGCTGTTTCAATAAAAGAACCAGGTAAAATCTAACACTGCAGCCAGAGGTGGTGGTGGAGGCCAAACCAAGAGCCAACAGAGAGGGAGTATAGATGTAAGCATTCAAAGTGTTGCTCTCTGCTATGATAAGTGGGCACGTTTTCTGCAATTGTTCTTCACTGGTTTTGCAGCATGGCATGTGTTACAGTATACAGGCTCAGCCTACACTCATGGGTACAGCACCTTGTGCATACACAAATCATAGCCCATAGGCAGCAATGATGCAAGTTCATTTAGAAACTGAAGTAAATTATTACTGTGTGTGGATTAGCAATGTTAGTTTACTTTAATATTTTGTAGATTTTTGTTTGGACAAATCAGTCAAAACGCTCTCCTAAAAATTACATTCCTGCAACTAAACTGCAAACACACATAAGTTTTGAAGGGGATGTGTTTTATTGTTGGATTTTATTCAGATGCAACATATCTTCTGAATGAATGAAGTGATGCATTTTGCTACAGAAACAGTGCCAGTTTGGGGAGAATGGTGGCGGTACAAAGCACAGCGCTGTCACACCAGAAGCTCATCAGGAGAGAAAGACTGAACCGAAGTTTGCACCAACTCTGGCATCTTTTAAAAACAATTTTCCAATTAGTCTTGTGTATGTGGATGTTGTCTTTATGTTAACTTATTAAATAATACCTTACTTCCCACTGTGAACACTGTTTGGTATCATACTTTACAAATAAACCCGAAGTCTGTGTTTGCTGAGACAGCCAAACATGTTTCTGACCTTCATGTCCCATCTTGACCGTCTTGTCGGTGGAGTTATTGTAGATCAGGACAGCCGTAGCGTTGTAGGCAGACGCCTTCAGGATCTTCTCCTTAAAGGTGCAGTTTCCTCTCTGCAACAGTGCCACCCAGTGGATGCTCCGAGGAGGGACCAGGAAACGAGTGTTGGGGTCGCAGCCCTGCCGGTCCACGACTGAGGAAACATGTTACCGGGTGAGTGCATTAATTACTACCTCATTATAAAAACAATACTAGAGCTGCAAGGAATAGTTGATCAAAACAACATAACACAACAGAAATGGTTCGATAGCTGATTAATCTTTCCCAAAACAAACAAACATTTAATGGTTTCATCTCCTCAGAGATGAAGATTTGTTCGGATAAAGCAAGATGTAAAGATGTCACACTGAGCCATACTAGTCAGAATGTCACTTTTTTCTAAAGCGTTATAAACCAAACTAACATTGGATTTACCAGGGAAAATGGCAAATTAATAAATAAAGAAAATTTGAGCTGAATCAGTTAGTTGAGTAATCAATAAGTGGATTCATCAGCAATTATTTTGATAATCAAATAACTGTTTCTCATTTTTCAAGCAGAAATACCAACAATCCCTGATTCAAACTTATTCTGAGGACTTGCTGCTTCTATCTGAATTATACACATTAAATCAATAATGTCAAACTGGTGTGTGCAAAGTTTGGGCAGAAGAGGCGGTTTGATGACATCACTTTCAGCAGACCACGGTCCTAAAAGTCATGTTAATGCCTGAGCTTGTCTTCTCAGACAGAACAGTTTTCTAACCTGAAACTCTGAACTCGGGCCCAAACCAGGCAAATGATGCACAACTTTGAGTTTGAGCAACGTAACAGCAGATCTCTGTGTCTTGTCTGATCAGTAGGTACAGGTTAGTTTGTGTCTGAGTCACTGTGTAATATAAAGGATCTGTATCACAATTAATGTTGTATTTCTATGATCAAAACACTGTCAGCTGGTGTATGGACCATACCCAGACCATGTCCTGAAGGGTCAAACCAGAAGAGAAAAACAACCAGTCAGGAGTGAAAGCATCTTTAGTTGGTAATGTTCCAGTGACCTCTTCTCAGCAGGTCCAGGACCAGACAGCGGTTTCTCTGATCCACACTAACAGAGACGCTGCTCACGCCATGTGGACTCTCTATATCCTAACATTAGATTTAGAACTGTAACTATCCATTATTTCCATTATTGATTAATCTGCTGATTGTTGTCTCGATTAATCACTCCGTCTTTGAACAATGAGAAAACAGGAGAGTACACAGACTACACTGTGTAAGATTCTTATAGACTCTAGTTACTTTATAAGCTTTAGTTACTTCTCATACCTTTAGTTCCATTTAGTTACCTTTCATAACTTTATATTACTTGTTTATTATTTGTTTATATTACAGCTGTATTGATGATTGTCCAGAACTACTGAGCTTTGGTTATTTTAATGCATTTGTTTCCCTTGCTTATATATCTTACAGCTGTAATGAAGTATAATCTGCTTACTATGAATACTGTAACTTCTGTGTAGAGACTAGATGTCTGCATCTCTTTATGACCAGACAGTCTATTCACACTTTAGCAAAGACCTGTTTTACACACACCTCAACCCACTTAGCATATCCCAAGCTTTGCTTTGTCTTGGGATGTCCTGCAGAGGCCGGGGGCTACAACCTGAGATGACCATCTGGCCAGTTTAACACACTTATTAGCATCACACACACAGGGGGCCTGCAACTTAGGCCACCCTTTGATCAGTGCACCTCGAGATCAAGATCTGGGTGCCGGAGACATGCACACACACACACATAGCTAGATTTACCATATTTCAACATGGAATTGTGAGCTCCGGCTCACACCAAATGACCAATAGGATCACAAACTATTGAAGGTTGCACCCCTGTCTAGGGCAGAGCAGCCCAAGAAGATAAAGTGTATTGCAAGACCTTAATTCGGGGTCAGTGGATGGAACTCCTGCGGAAGCTCTGTCTCTCTGATCCCAGCACTGTAAGGCCTACCTGTGATCAGACATTCAGTAAACTTTCTGCTGATTTTAAACAGTCCTCTCCTGTCGTCACTTCTTGTGCTTCCAACAAAAGAATTGGGTTAATTTCTAACAACTGAATGTCTCATTTTGTCCAAAAATATGTATTTAATGTGAGACAAAGAAATGGAAAGCCACGGAGATGGACTTCTGAAGCTCTGTCAGAGGGCCGTTGGGTTCTTGCCTTTCACTTTGACCAAGGCCCTTCTTGTTCCTCAGTCTGGTCTGACGCTAACTCTGTGAAGAGTCCTGCTGGTTCCAGACTTCCTCCTTGTCCCAGTTACTGAGGCCACTGTGCTCCTGAGGACACTCAGAGCTTTAGACATTGAGCCCCTGGTCCTGATCTGGGCCTCACCACAGTCTGACCACAGAGAGCTCCTGGACTACATGTCCTGGTTTGTGTCCCGACCTACAGTGGGAACTGTGGGACCTGATACACACAGGCGTGAGTCTCTCTGACCTCTGTCCAGTCAGCTGCCACAGGTGGGCTCCAGTCTGGTTCTAGACTCAGTGTCCAACAGGATGCACCTGAGCAAAGTCTGGAGCCACAGCAAGGGCTCTGGAAGCTTTTGGAAAGGAGATTTCAAGTTTCATTTTTAATAAGCTCTTGTTAGGTATTTTTAGTCAGATAGAAATTGGATAGATACTTTATGTATTAGAAATGTTTAGTGGAGATAGGATGTCTAGTTAGACTGTTAAATGCTTAGTCATGCTTATGAGTTTCTACAGGGTACATCTGGTCAAGGATAACTAGAGAGAAGAGTTGATGACTGTCAGCAGACAGGGTGTTTAATATTATTATTATGATGTGTATAACTGTAGCCTTAGCCATAATATGTTCTTATGTTTAAGTCACGACATGTACTAGAGGTCGTGAGAATGTTTTTAGTTACACACCACTTAACCAACAGACACACACACATTGATTTGCTTCATGTTTTGACTACTGCTATGACCAGCTGCAAAGCTGGTAACAGAGATGTCTCTATTGACGTTTCTGTGTAGTATGGGGCTAGCCCAACCGAGGGGATATAATGTATAGGCCTGGTGGGTTCAGGGTCTTTCATCTTACATCTGCCTGGGAGCAGTTTGGAGGTGCAAGATACCTGAGTGTGTAATGTTAATTTTACCTGTGATCCTTTGAATAAATCAGCACTGTTTTGAAGTTACTTGGACTGCCTCGTCTCTCAGAGTTAGCAATGGTAAGACGAACCATATCCTACACTCTCATTATGTGTTACTGAATATAAACTAATGGGCAAATGGCAGTTTGTGCATTTAAAGTTGAATCTACCTCACAAAAAAGTGAAGAGGTTTGAAAACTTTGTGAATTGAAGTCACAGCTCAGTGTTTTGAAGTTTCAGTCTTGATGAACTTGTATGTGAAGCTGCAGACAGTCGGAGTGCTGCAGTGTCCTTGGACCGTCTGACTGTAATCTGACACTTCACAACAGAAACGATCTGACCTCCAACAGCCTGAAAACCTCTGCAGTGCCTCAACACAACACACTACAGCAACTACATCCACAAAAATTACAAAACACCCACGACATCTGCTACATACTCTACAGGAGCCACATACTGTAGATCCACAGCATCTACTGCAGCAGCTAGTAACACATGATGGACACACAGACTAAAAGTACTGTAACATTCACAACAACAACAGGATACAGGACACACTGAAAGACAACCAAAACAGTCACAAAGACACAAAAGTGACCGCAAAAAGACAAAAACAACCAAGGGCTGACTGCTGACAAAGAACAGATTTTTTTTTTTTTGCAGTTATTAAATGGTTCTGACTGGTGAACCTCATCTCATCTAACCCTAACCCATCTCTGATGATATACTGACTGATTTCACTCTCTATAAACAGTTAAACATGGGGGAATTCTGAGGTGAATTTATTTTCATGTGACATCTTTATCCTGTTGGAGAAAAGTGTTGGTTTGTTGTCAGCACTGCATGCGTGCTTATGTGAATGTACACATTCATTGTTCCTCATTTACTGAGACTGATGCTGACGATAGTATTATAATATTATTATAAGTGTCTCTCTGCTACTTTCCACACAATATCTGTCACTGTGCTACAGATTTCAGTTTGTTGTGTTACACTGCAGTCACAGAAACAATAGAGACAAAACTGAACTGTGTTTTAAAGCTACAACTATTTTAACTATCAAATAGGTGCTGGTGAGTTTCTTTATTAACTAATCTAGTTTATAAAATGTCAGTAAACAGTAAATAATGTTCACCAGTCTCTAAACATCTTTATTCATTTAGCCAGCAGATTTTTTACTGTTTGTCTGAAAACTGACTTAACCCTCAGAGGACCTTCAAAAACACAAATTGTGTCAGGACAAATTTGTCCCTGAAGAACTTTAAACAATTTGATTTATCATTAAAAAAACTAATCAATAAATTATCTGTCATATTTGAGCTGATCTGTGTGTGTATATATATATATATATAAGATAAAACCTATTCAAGCCTGCTTTTCAAAGACGCAGGACACTGCCATATGCCATATAGCAGACCACCACTGACTTTGGTACGGAAGGGGGTTCGAACCTTAGGCAAGGCCCTTAATGCTATCTGCCTACCTAATCCGTAATGAGAGTTGGGAAAATAAGAGTCACAAGGTCCATGCCATGTGTTGAGGAACCAGGGCAACCTGATGAGAAGTGGGCTACTGGAACAAGACATTCATGGACAAGAGAGGAGAACAGGGAACTAGTGGAAGTTAGCCAGCTATCAGAACTGCAGAAAGGTGTGATGAAGAAAGGGGTATCTAAGAAATACAACTCACTGTCCATACCTGAGGCCTTAGAGACTGCCAAGCAAAGGCTCACAGCCCTGGCCATACGACTGAAGAGGTACACCAAAGAAGTTGAAGCCAGGAGAATAAACCGAATGTTCTCCACTGAGCCATCCAAGGTGTGCTCTCAGTGGCAGAGTAATAACATGAGAGCAGACCCACCAAAGCTGGAGACTGAACAGTTCTGGAAGAGCATATGGGAGAAGGAGGCATCACATAACAACGATGCCCAGTGCCTGGTGGACCTGAGAGCAGACCACAGCAACCTCCCTGCACAAGACCCAGTAATCATCACAATGG